CTCAGTATATAGTTATTTATCTTGCATTACCATTACAAGCAATTACTGTAATATCTTTGCCTTAGCCACATCGGCCCCATTATTGACAATAAAATTAAGGCATGGGCTTAAATATCGACAATGTCAACCTACCCGTCTGACCAGGAGTCTTGCAAATATACTTGCCCTCCTCCAGCGAGAGACCCCCAGCCACCTAACATTACTCGTGCGTGAATTGTTAAAATATGCGGTTCCAGCTTGTCTAGACGCACTTAGCAAGTTTCCATTATTGAGTCCCCCTCCATCATATTGGGGTCAATTTCTATCGATGACGCGGTCTTTGTAAAATGGCTTCCCATCAATGCCCACTTATGAAAGAAGAGTACAAGTTCATGCCACAGGGAATGTCTGTCAGTATCCACACTCGCACACGTTTTCTCAGTACCGAATTTGCGCTGGCACAAGTATGTTGCGCATTCGCGCTGCACCCAACCTCCAGTCCACAAGAGGAGCTCCGCATCATAAGGGAGTTGTGACTAGGCGATCATCTTTGAAATGTGTATTACCTCTCTCAGTTTAGTCAAGTTAATTTAGAGTAAACTCACGATTAGAAACGTGAAGTTGACTGCATTTGATTGAGCGATCAAGCATAGCACGTGCTGGCAGTAATTTGCAGTGTCACCACTTCGTTACTAATGCCTACTACCTGTGAGGTAAATTTTATGAATTTTTCCCTTTAGCTAGTATACTTTTAGTGCCACAATCAACTGATACGTCTTTTGCCTCCCAACCCTCCAAAGCCTTGGATCTGGTGTTTTAATAAAGGTTACCGTTTGCCTCCACTATGCTGTTGACATGTTTCCTTATTTTACTAAAACCGATTGACAGGGGACTGATTAATAATTGCGGCGTCAAATGTTCAAGCCACTGGTAATATACGCACCCAGATGCTTGTGCTACTTAAGTGGAAAAAACAGAGACTACTAATCTTAAATAGAGCTAAGGCATTTTGCGTATAGCCTGAGGTTAACACCACTTGATAGGGCGGTTTTCTTAGGGACCTAATTCACCTTGTGTGAAGTTGGCTTTCCTTTGATAGGAGATCCATAAATCGCCAAAATAGAGATTTTATTTTGAAAAGTCTACAGGTCTTGCATAAATGCTCGCAATTTACAATTTTCTGTAATTGTCCAGAACAGACTGGCAGTGCAGTCGTCGTCCGTCAAAAGACAATTTATTTGTTCTTGTTTAACGTGAGGTCAACTTTGTCTGGCTTGCCCTCAAAGCACACTGGAAAAATGCATTTAATGGACCCATTTGAGTGATAATTTTCGATAATAAGCCTTCGCAAACATCAAAGGAAAATATATTGCATGTTGTACAGATTAAGTAAAGAATCCTTTGTTGTAGACATCAGCCACTTTTCCAATCTACTACTTCATCACGGCCACAATTAGATGTAGCTTGTGGCTCGTTAATCCGGTGGCAAAACATGTCTATTTTTGCCCAACTATCCGCTTGAACATAGAGAATATCTTAAAAGACCACTATGTCACAACTTTCATTTGAACGTTTCAACTTGACTGCTAGTGTTTCACAGTAACCACAGCATGAGGAATTCAGTCAATCTGAAGGCCCAATTATATGATCAAAGGACTACTTATATGCATTAAGATGTGTCCAATGTCAAATTAAGTAGTTTGTGCCTAATTTAATAACAGCCCTACTCAAATGGTACGAAAGCTACCCAAGGACAATTTGCTTAATGTTGTTTCTACTTGTGGCGATTTCAGTCTGTCCAGAGGTCTATTTACGCAACTACGGACTACCAGTATCGACTTAAGGATATCAACTTTCAACTTATATAATGTTGTCTGCTTGCATAGCTTAAGGGCGACTCAAGGTAAACTTATGCAGTATGGTCGTGTGCACGTAGTAAGGGACTTCTTAGGAACGAGGATGGAAAAGTACAAATTCTTCCAAAAAACACAGCTTTGGGAAGGCCATCCGATCCCGAAGAAATCAAAATGACCCGAGTGGGATTTTGATTTCATAGCCCATAAGCGCTAGGTTTGTCTGAATGGATATCCTTTTCATATACGTTAAATGAACATAGGGATCGGAATATGGCAGTGCATACTAAGACTCTACTAAATCGCTACATTAACAACTTCATAATATTAAGGTGACTGTTTTTTTGCATATCATCCAAAATTTTTAAAAGTGTTATATACATGTACATGGGCCAGAGCTGAGCGTAAGTATTATACTCTGCACAATATAATAAGTGAACCCATTGAACGAAATAAGCAGCCGAGAAATTGTCAAAACTTATTGCTGGGCTAATAGATTTATCCGGTTGACTTTTTCTGCATATTGCATTTCCTGGAAAAGGTGACGTGTGATGACCGAAAAATTGGTAAGGACCATCATCTGCTTTTCAAAATACATTTGATGGTAATTTAATAAGTGGGTAGCAATGTTTTTAATACGCAGGACAATAAACCTAAATGGTGATGACACTTTGGCACAAAAGGTGTGATTGGCAACTGAGAAGACAGCCAGGATGAGAATACATTTAGACATAATTTACAAGCCTCTGTCCAAAGTATTTAGCAGTGGGGTCTCCAAATGACTGTTTCTGACTTTGAATTTCAGCCCAATCATAAGAAAATTATGGTACAATACAATTTGCTGAAGAGCATATTCTGTGTACATAATTATAGAGGAACTGCAATTTTCCATAAATTTTACTTAGCTCATTCCTTATTTTCCTTCAATCCAGTACGGCGAATCGCACCGACATGACCTGTTTTAAGCACGGAAATATTCTGGTAGTTTAAAGAATAAATTAATTATAAAAATAGATTTACCACCTCAAGCTAGCGCAACATAAGGTTTCTCGTGCGAATTTAGAAACTGAAATGCTCTACCGTTGACGTTATTTCGGACAAATGGATTAAAGCACATAGGACAAACAGTACTCCAAATAATGGACAAATTTTGTTTTTTAAAGCTTGCATTTTAGAATTTAATGAGGCATTCCGAGCCCCCTTCCAATTACTTCTACGGTTTACACTGAATCTACATACCTATGCCAAGTTATGCATTTCCAAAGTGGCTAAACCTGCAACTATAATATCAGTCATGCTAATACGATCAAATGGAATGTGAAACTGTGCAGAAGCAATGAAGTACTTACCCGGTTGACCCGTTGCAAAGACTGCTTTGATTTAATTTACAAGTGGCTTACTAAACACCATTTAATTTGTTGAGGGCATCAGAAAAAAGGAATAAATCCCAATTTTACTCAATGGTCTCATGAATTGGTATCCATATTAAGTTTAGGTAAAATCCCATTTTTAAAGGTAACAAATAATAATCATTAATAAATGGATCACAATTTTCATTATTTTGATATTTATAAAGCATTTTAACAAAGACATCGGTTTTAGGCGACAGATGTTATTGGTGGAAAGTTACCCGGCTCTGTTTATTTGTTTGTTTTTATCAATGTTAGGATTGAAAAAGTTGCTTGGTGTTCAAGCAATCGTTAATATGTCGCTGCTAAACGTGTCCTAAATTTATGTGTGTTAACTTAAAAATTTACAATCGTTTGCAATAAACGAAGTTGAACTATGGAATCTGTATAATTATCAATAATAGTGGAATCGTATTTACCCGAGTTTAAAGTAATGCTAAAAAAGGTACAGATGGTTTGCCTCTTCAAGGGAAAATTATCAGCATAAAACGGCAACAAATGCAACATTGGTGTTCGTTCGAAATTGTCAGCCTTTCGTTTGTACTCCTCGAAATAACTTCTTAATGAACCCATTAGCAATTCCATAAAAATCACAAATGACAGCACATGTTTTATCCAAATAATGCAAAATTTCCTGTTTAAGAATTCAGTGCTGTCAATTCCTTAGCACTATCATCGTCTAAGTGCTGTCGGTTTTTTGTGCAATTCAAAGCCATCTTCGCATCTGCGTTGAAAAGTCTTTAGTATAATGCGAAATCTCGTATTTAAGAATTCAGCTCTGTCAATTCCTCAAGTAAATGCTGGCATTCTTAGCACTTTCATGGAATTCAAAGTCATTTTCGTAAGTGAGTTGAGAACTCAGCATAATAGTGTGTTTTTTATGTCTGTAGTTATTTATCAGACTGCTGCAATGTTGAAAAGACTTTTGTAAATTCCGACAATATTTTCCATTTTACTATCGTCTAAGTAAAACCGATCACCTACCTCATACAGAGTTTTTGCGAAGAACCATTCTGGGCCTTTAAATATGCATCAGCAAAACTAGCATTTACGTCTGTTAGACATGGAGAATCAGTCAAAAGTGAGAGAGCGTCAACTCCACTCTACGAAAGTTTGGGGATTAGTCGTTATTTGCAACTTCGAAAAAGTCCAGCATGAACGTATTCTATGAGGTGCAGGCACCCCAACATGCTGCTGTAGAAGAAGATGATGGAAGAAGTCAGTTTTTATTAAGTGACAATAACAGCCCAGATGCTGTATTTATTTTTACCTGAGGCATTGCAGCCTTGCTGCTTTAGCAGACTGATATAAAAAGAGATAAAAGGATTGCACAGTAAGTGTTTGTATTTGAAGCAGTAACCTCTCAGAATGTCTAAGAATTAGTATTTGAAAATTTGAAAGAAAATGTTTTTTTGGGGTGCCCTACATTCCTAGCAAATGTAGGATTTTTGATAAACTCAGAGACATGTTGCAGAAAGGAATGGCGATAGTCCATGATTTCAAAACAATTGCCACACGCCGGGTGCTGGTCAATATTTACCCCTAGACGGCTCTGGGATAAACTTGTGCTGCCAAAATGTTTCAGGTAACTACTACAAGAACACAAATAGTCCTTTTGTTTGGTTTTCATAGTTTTGCCTCTTTTTAATGTAAGTTGGTTTCAGATGACCATATGTCGAAATAAGGCGACCCACTTTTTCCGGTTTGTGTCTATATAGGTGAGACAGCCGCCAGTGTGAAAGGTTCGGAGTCTTTCGCCTCCTCCTTGGACTTCAATCTCTCGGAACGAGTAGACTAAAGAGATAGTGGCAGTATGTACAGAGAGCAGAGATCGGAAGAACGCACCTTCAGAACATATTTCGTTGCCTCTGCCCATCAATGATAGCTGTTCTGTTACAAGATTTAGGTTTATTAAGAGCTTCTCACCTAAGTGGTGCCTGCTACATAGACGTACTCATTATCATTCGCCTTTTTGAACACCATTTCGGGTGCCCTCCTTACAGTTAGTCTCTGCTAATGACATAGGTGGTGGTCTTCGTTCCTCCATTACTACATAAACTTTATCTTCTTACCAGACAGTTGGTAAACCTTTGTGCGTACGCACTCTATCGTGAGAGAGGATTATTAGTTTAGCATGAGTCGCGTATTACGAACGAGGTAGTCTGCTGGTGAGTAGGCCTACATTACTTGAAACACATCACTCACTGTGGATGAGGAGACCTGCAGTGTATTCCGGGTGGCGCGATCGGTATGCTTGGTTCTACTCGACCTCTTTCTTGGTAGATATTATTCCAGACGTATTTAGGTTTGTTCGAAGGCGTATGTGGACTTTTAAAGTGCATATTCATGGTTAGTGTACTCCTATTATAATACCATCAATAAGGAAAGCTTTGCCTAACCGGTATACATGGTAAAAGGGAATAAAGGACGAAACAGAGGAGACAAATGCGCCCCTAAACTGGCGTGACTTGTTTAAAATTAATAGAAGACTTGGATTTATGCAATGCGGATAGAT